CCCGATCAATATTGAAAAGGAGGCCATTGGGAACTATGCCTAAGCTGGCCAGAGCTTTTAAAGAGAATACAATCATCCATTTATATCCACCTAGCATCATCTTCTTCTACCAATCTCTAGTTAGCAAGCTACATTTAAAATCAATGTAAAAAGAAAATCTGGAGATTTAAAATTTGTTGCTACTTTGGGTTAAACTGTATGTTTCCTCTAAAAGAAGTCCTGGATAATTCATTGGAGTTTATTCAAGATCTTTCATATATTTGGACAGTTTCCAAAATGTGATGCAGTGAAAATGTATCATAATATATACTTATGGCATGATATAATGCTCGGACACAAATTTGATGCAGCAAACATGTTGTTTCCAGAGTTGCATTTAGTTTACCAACCCACAGAAATGTACTTTTAAACCGAGGTTAGAGAAATGAGAAATATCTCAGCAGTTATTTTTGCAAATCTTCTCTTTCTTTGGAGACTTTCTTTGGAGTGTCTACAAAAAACGAGAAGGTCTGGAAAAATAACTGCTAAGCAGAGATATTTCTTATTTCTCCAACCTAGGTACATTTCCATGGCTCTTCAGATACCTTTAATTTTTTATTTTTTAACAGTAAAGGTGTGCAAAACACGATTTCATCAGAGCTAGGATCCTAGTTTGGGTGTTGCCATTTAGGTCAAGGCAAGCCATCTGTTTGGTGAAAGATTTCAAATTAAAGCATCCCTGGCAGATGTCCAATTTCTGGTCGTGAAGAACAGCCTACTTCTATTCTGCTCATGTGGTTCTGCTATCGAATTGTTTTTACTCCCAGGAACTCTTTTGTAACTGGAACTTGTCTTGAAATTTGAATTCATAACTCCATATCATGCACTCTGAAATAATGGAGAACGAGAGTTGATCTTCTGCTGTGTGTCACCTGTTCAAGTATTTGAAGAATACTATTGTGTTTCCCAGCTCATTCTCCTCGAAGTTTAGCTGTCCAAAATTCATCAATTTGTCTTCATAGGACTTAATTTGTAATCCTATGGTCTTCCTCACTGCTCATTTCTGAACCTGTTCCAATTTGTCTAGATGTTCAAATGGGGTGCTGAGAACTTGATACAATATTCAAGAAAAAGTTTGTTAAACACATAATGAAATACTACAGATAACAGATTTAACAGATAATCAGAGTTGGAAGGGACCTTGTAGGACATCTAGTCCAACCCTCCGCCCAAGCAGGAGACCCTACACCATTTCTGACAAATGGCAGTCCAATCTCTTTTTGAAAGTCTCAAGTGATGGCGCTCCCACAACTTCCGAGGGCAAGCTGTTCCATTGGTTGATTGTTCTCACTGTCAGAAAGTTTCTCCTTATTTCCAGGTGAAATCTCTCCTTGTTCAGTTTCCATCCATTATTCCTTGTCTAGCCTGCAGGCGCTTTAGAAAATAGCTTGACCCCTTCCTCTCTGTGGCAAGTATTGAAACACTGCTATCATGTCTTCCCTGGTCCTTCTCTCAACAAGGAGAAACAAATGCATAAAAACCTGCACACTAACACATTCCAAGATAAAAGACATGTATGAATTATATTTAAATAGTATTTCAGTGCCAGAACTAAAGTATATATTCACAGATATTGAAATATTTTTAAATTTTCTGGTTCTACGATAATGCAACACTGGATTTGTGCAATAAGGGCATTCAAGACTTGGGGCAGAGAGGAATGTATGGTTTGAAGAACCATTTTTCTATAACAGAAATATTGTGTTTTTCTCAAGTGCAAATGCTATTTCCAGAAACATATTTATTGGGATAATGGGTCAACTGTATAACTGGGAAAGATGTAGTTATCAAATCTTTATTTAAAAAGTGTGTTGTTTGCATGTTAAAGGTCATACATAAATCCATTAGTTTGTTTTAAAATTTACTCAAGTATAAATGATACTGAATATCCTTAATTTTATGTATACTCTTTATTGCATATTGTTGTTTTTCTTTAAAAAATGTACAGTCTTGTAACATACACATCCTGCTAGCTAAAAACACCCGTGTATCTAAGATCCACTACATGGTTTGCTACTCCTAATCTACTTAGTATATTTCAGTTTACAAACTATCACTTTTTTTCCTCTCTCTTTTTTGGCATGATTTTTTTTTAATTACACACCCAGGAGCAATGCAAAGAGGAAAATTATAATGAAAATAGAGTGGCTACTTCCACCAGCACCAGTCAAAAAATGTAATTTACAACAAATGGCACATGGGATTAACCTGTACATTTATTTAAGAAAACAAACAAGAACAAAAAAAACTCTCCCACACAAGCACAAAGAATTGCAAATGCAGCCTCCCAAATAAGGCTTTTGCAGATCAAGTTTGGTTTGGAAGCACAAGGAATGGTTTCCACTGGACCCTTGCTTCCTTTGCTTTGTAATCCGTGTAGTGGAGATTGCAAGAAATCCAGGGAGATCCATTAATCCATCCTACAAAACAGAAACAGCTTCCCCTTGAAGGTATATTAACATTGCTGACAGCACAACACAAATCAGTCAGCTGTCTCAATTTGATACTTGATGTACTAAATGCCAAATAAGGTTTTTGGGGGGTGGTATGGAGTGGGTAGGGGCAAAATTCGTAGAAGTGATGTGCTTAACTAATGCACCCAGATTGATTCTGGATCCAAATAAAACATTGTGTTTCTTTTGAACAGATCAGCATTGAGCATTATAAGGTTTTCAAGCCAGAACCGAAATTGCTGTTTCTTTAAAGAAGTGTTTCCTTATCTTGGTAACTTTTAAGATTTATGGGCTTCAAACTCCCAGAATTGGTCAGGCAGCTGTGGGAGTTGAAAGTCCACATATCTTAAAAGTTGCCAAGGCTGGGAACTTTCTAAGGGCTTCCACTTTAATTTGTACTGAATTTCACCTTCTGACTAAACTCATCTGATATTGCAGTAGGGTGGTTAAACAAGGTAAGCTGATAGGGATCCTCCCAAAACGAATGTGTGCCTATCCAACATACGCACACAAACATCCCTGCTGAAAACATGACAAAAAGAATTATCTAAATAATTTTCCCGTTTGTAGTGTATTTCTGGATAGCTCCACTGGAAAATCCAAGCACTGCCTCAGCAGTGTTAGTCTGCACAATGTGTAATCTGCAGGATGCCCTGGATCACCAGAGACATCGCATTATATCTACTCCATGTAAATTGCTTCCTGATGGGAATGTGAATCGGTCCTGGGGTGTGTGTGTGAGTGGAAGTGGGGGCTGGAAATAAAGGTACTCACTTTTCAGCAAGACTCTTTCTATGGTCATAGAAAGGGTGCTGAATTCTTAAATGCCTATTGGATTGCAGGGCTAGTCTTGCAGAGGAGACTGAATGTTACAGCACTTTTCTGCTCTTTTTATATTCAAAATATGCTGGCTTTGTCTTTATTCACATTTCATTTTAATGCACCCTCTGATCTATCTGAGCTCTTTTTCATCAGCAACGCCCTAAAATCGTATCTAACCCAATTTTCTTCCATCTATAAATACAATATATACATATAAAAGAGAGGCACTTGAGTTTAAGTAACAGTTATGACCAACTTGGATGCTTTCCCTGGGAGCAAAGCTTTTGCTCTCTGTGAGGACTCAGATAATCAACATTCTCACTCTTACTGTTTTGCAAGGTATCTGACGAGCCATCCAGGTGTACATTTGATTGAAAAAGGCTGCAGTTAAGAAAAATGACATTTCAAAAAGAAGAAGAGAAAAATACATGCACGTGCCTACATACACACACACACACACACACAAACAGATCTCTCTAACAGCTCTCTGTGGTGTGATCTTCACAGCTTTCAGATTGCAAAAGGATCTGGGGATCCCGGCAACAAGAACTGTATTTTGTACAAACTAGTTTTTTTTATACAAAACCACACATTTCTTTTACAATTCACATGAGGAAAAGTGCTATTCCAATTCCCCAACCAGTTAGCAACTTTTACTAGTCCCTCCCCACCCCGACCCCCAAAAGTTTCAAACAGCATTAACTATCTAGTGCAAGGACAAAAAAAAAATTAAAATAAAATAAACAAATCCCTGTTCAATTTCAGATAACAATATGAGGATGGTTAAAAAAAAATTAAAAGCCACAGAAGAAAAATCCCACAAATAAATAAAAGAGCAAAAAAAGAGATCAAAAAGTAACAGTCTTCAATATTCTCTATAAGATTAAGCCACATTATAAAAAATTGGCATTTTAAAAACTTGTTTCCAATTTCTTTGTATACTATTGTTTTTAAATTATTAATTACTCCCTGAGCAATCTGATGTTTTTTTGTTTTTGTTTTTTGTGTGTTTTTTTTAAAGATTTTGGATCTACATTTTTATAGGTAGCTCTGCTTAACACTTCTGCAAGAAAAAACGTGAATAGCAATATATTTTTGGGGGGGGCGGGGAGCGGGCTTCCCGCTGCTCTGCATGATACATTTGGTCCTTAAATCTCTCTCCTCAGCTCTGGACTTCATCAAAGCCTTTGACCAAAGCTGCTTCATTTGGGACAAAGGGCAAACTTTGAAATAAGTTTTATCTATGCTTGTTCTACAAACAGAGGCCTCTGTGTGCTGCCAATCAACCCAAGGCTACAGGATAATCAGGAGAGGACTACAAAGTCACTGTACTTACTTAGTAAAATCCACTTTTGTTTTTATGGCAGCAGTTCTCAGCTAAACTCTAAAAAATCCCAGGCACTACATTCACTTGGTCTGCTCCTGGTACTGCTTGACCACAAATTTATCTCTGAAGACTTTAGTGGGCATGTATGGAGAATTACACAGAGTGCCCAATATCTGCAGGTATGCCCCAACCCCCCTCAAGGCTCTTCTGGAATCACTGCTGATTAGACCACTGTTACAAAACGGAACTGGCCCAGAGTAACTTCTGACCTACGTTTACAGAGAATATAGTTTGTCTTATTTGGACAGAGAATCAAAACAAAACAGAACGAACACATAGATTCTTTTTTTTTTTTCAAAGAGAGAGAGAGAGAGCATATCCCCCCTCCCCACACCCCAGTGGTCTTCAATAAGAAAACAAATTAATTCTTATAGATGCATTATTACAGTAATGAAAAGCTCCCCAAGGAGTCCAAAAGTGCTGGGAAAGAATGAAAAAAAAGGAGAGATTAGGGAATAAAGGGAGCCAGCACAAGAATTACAAGGGATGTTCAAGTTTTAGGTAATAATAGACACAGAAGATAAGATTTGTTTTCTCCCGAGCAATACAGTTCAGGCCGAACAAGACAAGTTTCTAATGGGCTTTTTGCCACTGTATTCCCAGCAGTGATGAGTCAGTCAAGGTGGGTCCATCCTGGTCATGATGATCTCAGGTCATCCTGCACAACTCTCTTCCTAGCTTCTCCTCAAGATCGGCCTCAAGGACCCCAAATAAGCCAAGCTGAATGCTACTCTTCAGCCTCCCTCATTTCGCTCCCTGGGTGCTTCTGCCTCTTTATCGGCCTCCCCCTCCAACGTTTGTGCTTTTGAAATGGAGAAGCTGCTTGTGGAATGCCACTATAATCGGTAGAAAAGGGAGCATTCACTCAAGCAGTTAGCCACCGTGCGTGCTTACAAGTGTGTCACACACCCTTTTGGCCTCCATCCACCCGAAGAGATTGGTATATACAGCACATATACACACCCACACACGCATGCTTCCTTTAACCACCCGCTCACGCAGACATGCAGGGTGGGGGAGGAAATATGCCACTGAGTGACCACCAAGGCAGAAGGCAAAGAAAAAAGAAAAAAGACCAGGTTTTAAACCAGATTATTGGTCAGGTTTTCCCCACCCACCCCCACTAACACTCTTTAAAAAGACAATGTTCAAAAGTTGAGTTTTGTGATGGGTCTCTCACGACTCCCGTCTGCCAGCTGATTCGTGATGCGTTTGCGATTGCGCTTCAGTTTAGAAAGGTCTTTGTCAAAGACTTCTCCGGACCTTAAAGCGGAGACCAGGTCATCAAACTCCCCACCTTCTTCACTGCTTTCTTTTGCCTTCCTAGCCTTGCGCTCCCTTTCTCGCTGCTCCTTGAGCTGGGAGAGAGAGAAAAAAAGTGTCTTAATTTCCAGTTTGCAGCTATTGAAAATCCCAAGAAAGGCAGCACGTGGTCTTACATGTGTGTGTGGAAAACAATTCAGCTGGTGAAAGGCTGCCTGTTCCAGGGGACTCACAGTTCTATCTGGAAATATAAATGTGTTCTCAGAGAGCCCTTCAAACCCAGGATGACTGATCACCCTCTGGGCCTGCTGAGAAAAAAAGCTCAGAATACTTCGTATGTTGAATTGTGACTGAAAACAAGTGTTTGGGCAGAATGGTGATGTTGGAGGGAAGGTACTTGGTTACAGATTTACAGACCAAGAGCCCACACTAGCAGAAGCTAAACTCACTGGAAGATCCCACATACACTGCATGCTAAAGGGCCTAAGGAAGGCCCTCATGACTCCCAAACAAAAGTGGCAAAGATCATTTTTGACTGAAAGCTTTGTGAGCTCCTGCTAGCCAGAACAGACTGATGTCTATAATGCTCAAGACTCTACAGGAGGGAGGTTCTTATGTTCGTATAGGAAATAAATTAAAATATGCTCTAGAGCAGGGGTGTCAAACTCAATTTCATTGATGGCCGCATCAGGGTTGTGTTTGACCTCAAGGGACCATGGTGGGTGTGGCCATGGTAGGCATGGCCAACTCAACGTCACTCATGTCAGGGGCACACGCGGCCCTCCCAAACTCCGTTTTCACTGGCAGTGTTGCAGGAGGCCATCCCAGCCACAAACAGAGATTGGGAGCTCTTTTTCACTGGCAGGCACTGCGGGCAGGTCTTTTGTTGTTTTCAGGGTGCCCCCGTGGGCCAGATCTAAGCACCCACCAGATCTAAGCAGGCTGGATCTGGCCTACAGGCCTTGAGTTTGACACCCCTGCTCTAGAGGACAACAGATAAACTATCCTTGCTATTCTTGCTGTGTTATTACAGATGTTTTCTGTAATGTGATACTCTCTGAACGCCATGCAATGCATCTTCTGCTGGCAATGAGAGTTGAAGTTCAACACTTTTGGAAGATACCAATGACTATGCAATTGGATGTAGAAGTGCCTTTTGTAGTACCTGAGCTTCCATACGTGCCCGTCGCTCTTCTTCTTCCTTCCTCTTTCTCATGTTTTCATTCTCTTGTTTAGCCTCATTTACAGCTTGAAGGAACTGGTCAAAGATGCCAAAGAACTCATCTGGTTGTGTTTTGCCAGAATCTTCTCCAAAATGCTTCACTGCCTTGATAAACTAAAGAAAGAAACTAGTAAGCTTTTTGAAAATTCTCCCAGATTTATTCTTTTTCTGTCTAAGAAAACATCAGTTTAAGAACAGGATTGTCATTCCAAGTATAATTCTCTTTCATATCTTCCTTTAGACAAGGCCATGCATGATAGGAACTGTGAGAAACTAATCCATTATGGCAAGTCTGCCGAAGTCTTGGGGAAGTCAATGAATATGTGTGGCATTTTGTTATCAGGTTGTGAGTTGGGATTGTCATAAGTATAGATAATAATGAAACATCATCTTAGCAGAAGCAAATTACTATTCTATCTAGTCTCTGTCCCACCAAAACAACTCTGATCTTACTTTTAACACTTTGGAGGCTGGAAGGAGATACATATATACAAGCACTGAGTTGCCACCTCTTCGTTTTTTATTTTGTAAGCAGATCTATTGCTTAGGCAGAATTTAAGATCCTTCTGGAAATAGAGATGATCCTAAATCTAATTATTTTTCAAGAAAAAATAATGTAAATAAAATTCCCATGGTTTGAGCATGGTAGTCTTGCACATATATAGGTTGGAATGTTGCATCCTTCACTGTACAATCTGTACAAGCTTCTGTGGTCTGCAGCTTCCTATCTTTCTATTAAGCCTTATTTACAGTGGTGCTACTAGTACAATCTAGGAGAGAATCCTGCCCTTATGAAAGTTTTGGACAAACTCAAAAAAACACTCTCTGAAGTCACACATTCATAATAGGACAAAGTTTGCGTTGTGGTACAAGTCACCATCTCCTCCCCTGCTTTCAGAACTGGTATCTTCATGTACTTGAAGCCACCATGTCCTCACCAGTTCAAAGTCTGGTAATATATCTCTTCTGTATTGCATTTTTCGTACCATTTTTGAAATGCTAAGAAGCTGTACCTCTGTTTTTGTTTCATGTCCTTCATTATCAAGTTTCCTCCACTCCCTCTTTTACTAACTCAGGGGCAATAAAACCAGAATTTGATATAAAAAATACAAACCTGAAACACACGGACAGGGAAAAGTGAAAACTCAGACTTTCAACTTTGCTTTGAAGATTCATTCCTATATGCTATTTATTATTGCCACATGCTTCAGTATTGGAACCAAATGTGCTAAGAAAGTTTTGGAAAAGACATTTACCCTCCCCCACCCGTCTTTGGAAATAAATTGGAAGTAAATCGAATTTGCTTAACCAGAAACTTTTCAGCCCACAGGAATGAACACAACCACCCACAGGTTTACCTGAAAATGGTGAGTACTGCATTGATTACCAGTAGGCTTGTGAGTACAAATTGAAATGCAGGTTGCAATCTATGAAATTCTTTGGCAACCAAGCAGGGGTGGGATTCAAATTTTTAACAACTGGTTCTGTGGGCGTGGCTTAGGTAGTAGGCATGGCTTGGTAGTCATGTGACTGGGTGGAAGTGGCTTGGTGGTCATGTTATTGGCTGGGTGTGGACAACTCAATATCACTCACATCGAGGCACGCATCTCCTCACCTGGCCTCTCATGACTGTGGGGATGCTGCAACAGTCGTAAGTGTGAAAAATGGTCATAAGTCACTTTTTTCAGTGCCATTGTAACTTTGAATGGTCACTCCACCCAAGCAAAGTACCAGCAAAGGAGGGGAAAAAAACTCCAGAGAAGTTCCTGAGACAGGAAATCTAGTCCTGCCAAGAATGCAAGAAGGGTTAAAGGAAAGGCAGTTTCTGTAAGCAACACCAGAATGTTTCCTTCCTGCCTTCCTTACAGGATTAGGCCAGTAATTTCTTCTAACAACTGGTTCTCTGAACTGCTTAGAATGTTAACAACCGGTTCTATTGAATAGTCGTGAACTGGTAGAATCCCACCCCTGCAACTAGGTATCTATAGATCATATATGCCAAGTAAACTGTATCCGTCTGGTATGTTGGTTGACATGAAGAGAACAGGGGGCCCGTTATAGTAACATCCTGCCATGGTCCTACTCCATGGAACCGGACATCCAAGTTGCACCCTTCCTTATAGTTTTCTGAAGGAGAATCAAAATGGAGGTCTTCCACAGAGCTTTTGATTGTTGAAGAGTGTTGCAGTTGCTCTATTTTGTTTGGAAGGCGGTTATTTGATTTGATATGGTTGTATAATGCTACAAAATAAACAATAAAGAAATAGCAATAGCACTTAGACTTATATACCGCTTCACAGTGCTTTTACAGCCCTCTCTAAGCGCTTTACAGAGTCAGCATATTGCCCCCACCTTGGAAGGATGAGTCAACCTTGAGCCATTCAGAATTTAAATCCTGGAGTGAGCGGTGAACCAGCCTGCAGTACTGCCTTCTAACCACTCTGCCACCAAATAATGAATACATATGTTGGGTATGAATAATGAAGGAAACCCACCTTTCAAACATTTGCTATTTTAGAAACAAAATGCTGAATTAAAGAGAAGCAAGTTCTCTTTAAAAGAGAAGCAAAATTGAGACAGGATTTCCACTGTGCAGTTAGCATCAGGGTCTTCATTCAGCTCTTCCACACAACTGGTGGATGAAATAAAGCTAATGCTCTGAATATTTTACTGAGGAAATAAAGCTAATGAGGGTCAGAAAGAGAGTGAGATATGAACTTCTGGATGATTGCCTGACAGAATAACCAAGTTGGAAGGGACCTTGGAGGTCTTCTAGTCCATCCCCCTGCTCAGGCAGGAAACCTATGCCATATCAGATAAATGGTTGTCCAATTTCTTCTTAAAAACGTCTAGTGTTGGAGCATTCACAACTTCTGGAGGTGTCATTGATTGATTGACAGCTACTTCTTTCTCTCTCTCTTACCAACCATATTGTTTAATTGACTCATCTGCAATTAGAACTTGATTCTGATGGACAAATCGTAGAGGGACTCACTGCAGAGTTCCTTAAATTAGAATGCATCCTCGTACATTAGCAACTACTGAGCCACAGGGACAGACCAGACCGAGAACGCTAATAAACAGACTCACAGGATAAGTCCCCAATGGCACAGTTAAAAATTGTCCACTCTAAAAATTGCCTGTTATTTAATTTTACAGTTTAATATGACAGAAAATGATTAAAGCCATGAGAAGCAGGTGTTTAACTGCAGTTTCTGGATGGGCTTTGCCCACCTTTGCCACCTTAAGGTCCAAAATATCCTTTCATTTGAAAGAGGTTGTAAAACCTAGCCTATACCAAGAGGAGCTTCGGGAGAGAAAGGTTTTAGTTCAAGGCTTTATATAATCCCAGGCTCAAGGTGTGATTTCAGAACATTCATGCCTCCTCAGTTAAACTGATTATATGAAAGAAATACACTGAACTATGGTCACAATTCAAGGCCTAGCATCAAAAATCCCATAAAGTTCTGGATTAGCAGAGATCCATGATAAGGATGTGCAATATTTGGATCTGAAGGAGATGAGAGAATGCTTTAGATCAGCTTTGCTGGCTGAGGAATTCTGGGAGTTGAAGTCCACAAGTCTTAAAGTTGCCAAGGTTGGACACCCCTGCTTTAGATCCAGTGTGAGTATCATCTTGGTATCTGTCAGCTGCAGTCTCTGTCAGATCAGATGCTGCATATCTCTATCCTGTAATAATTATTCCTTACCAGTTCTTTGGCTTCTGCTAGAAGATCTTCTACGTCTGAGAAGCTGAAGCTGGCCAAAGTGATGAATTGGCTAACCACAGAAACAAACTTGTCCTCTGGATTGGAAGGCTGGGATTTTTGGTATTCTAGTTCCTTTAAAGAAAAAAAAATTCATGTTACTCCAGACAGAGGTAGTCATAATCCCAGATAATGATTGAAATTTAGAAATCCCCAAACAGCTCATGTCCAAGACCCCCCAATGTACACTCTAAGAGAAGTATTTCTGATGATGTAATATGAAAAATGCATAAATACTGCACTCCTGTGGGAAACAGGCTGTTCGGTTGGGTTAGACAGCCAAATAAATTATCCGTCTTCCCAGTAGCTTTTCGTTGAACAAATCGTGGCTGACATTAACTATGGATAAGATTGGCTGAATATCCTGATTCTGGATAACTGTTAAGGAATTGAATGCATGGAGCTATGAAGGGACAACTCTCCAGTTCTGTTTCAGCCCTTCATTTTTATTAAGCACATTTTATCTTCATATTTATGTTAAATAAAAAGCAAAAAAGCAGGAAATATACAATATATCCAACACACTTTCTTCCCTCCTTTTCCCCCACAACAGCAACCTTGTGAAGATATGTTGGGCTTTCATGACTAAGATGGACTTGAACTCTCGATCTCCTGCTTTCTATCCTGATGTCTTAACCATTCAGCCAAATTGGCCAAGCACTTCCTCTACAGCCAGTTTAAATTGTAGCACAAAGGTCACCTATCAGATTGACTCAATAAAAATAAACCTGAATAATAAAAAGCTCCCTGTGAATCCATGGAATGATGGAACCCTTTCAAAGGAGGATATTCCATAGAACTGATGCCACTATGAAGAAGCCTCTTTAGCTTGGAATTTCTTATTTGTTAGGGCCTTTGTGCAACTGAATATTCATTCTGCCATAAACACAACCATGTATACAGAACGATCTCCTGTGCAAGTAGAGGTTCAAAAGAGCTTCAAAATATACTATCCCTCAATCAGGCTCTCATTGTAAGTGGGGGCCAATCTAAACTCTTATCCAGAAATAAAGTCAAAACCTAAACTGTCCATCAGTTGAGCAAATCAGGGGGTCAAAGGTCTTTTAAAGATAAACTTTATGGTGTATTAATCATCATTATTTTGTGCACTTCTGTTTTTCCGTATGAAATTTTGGCTTTTCTGTTTCATCCGTGAGTCTATCATTCAATGGAGTATTAATACTATAAATGTATAATAACAGCCAGCTCTGCCAGGTCCAATGCACTGTGCTGCTAGCTGCCAAACCACTGGCTGGTGTGCTAGGTGTTGCAGTTCAGCTTTGCTCTCAACTGGGGCTCATAACATTCTTGAAAATGTAACAATTGGTTCTATCAATGCTGGTATGAGCAGCCTCCAGCACACGAGTCCATCATTCTAAAGCCAGTCTCCTGTGAATTTTTTTTTTTGAACAAAATCATTCAAGAATTATTTTTAGGAACCTCTCCTCCCTTTTAAAAGCTCTTATGGTTCAATCCTAGAAGACAAATTCTGCTTCTCCTCACATACTGTATGCCATGCAATCTTCTCCTTCTATAGCAGCCATCCAAATATTTCAGGCACTGTGGCCTGAAAAGATTGCCTATCTCAGTCTACATCTTCCTGGGTGCCTTATACATAACCCATTCCATGCTATTGAAAGTTCTGGTGCAGTTAGACCTTCAAATAACCTTGCTGTCTCTCCTCAGCCTTCCTCCTCAATCAAACAGAGGAATATAGCTCCCTATAACATAGTTTTTATTTTCTTTATTATTGATAAGGACCATTTTGCTCAACAGTATCAGTGCAAAATTAGAATGACTCATCTTTATTTTTGAAAACATTTATGGTAACATAAAACTGATATACTTTCAGAGGAACCTCGGCCTACTGATCTCAACTCAATTCCTGTCAGCCCAATTTCTGGAGGCAATTTTCCTAATCTACCATATACACACTACCCCTTTTCAAAATGTCCAACCGTTTCTGAGATGGGGGAGGCATACATGTGTGAAGGACATACTGGAACAAAGGTTTGTAGTTGGCTTTGCTGATTAAAGTTGATTGAAAGCAGCTGTAGACCTGACTGCCACATGGGCTTCCACGCATTTCAAAACTATCTCTGTGCTGTTAGAACTATGAAGGCCAGACTTTTTTTAAAAATCACTCATGATGACCCCGAGAAAGCAAAAAAGCTACTGAGGTCATTGACAGAGCTATAAAGCTGTAACAATAAGTAACAAGATGCAGGACAGGAAAGAGAAACCATTATCTTAGACTAGAGATAAAAACTGCTTCACCTGTTTTCCCCCCACTCTCCCTCTAAGAATGAATGCTAACACTTCCTCAGACGCCCACACATGTGGCCTGTCTTGAAAAAAAAGTAGGGAACCATTAAATGGATAAGCAACACTTACTGTCTCCACAGCCCTGAGCCCACTCCTCAAGTTGCCAATGTCCTTCTCCAGTTCAGTCATACTGCCAGAAATAAAGGAAAGACATTAACTTTTCAAGCTGTTTCTAGCAAAGTTTTATAATGTAGGCTCTGACACCCTCCTAACTTCTCTGACTGGAGGAGGGAAAATACTCTTACCGGTATTTTAGATTAGCATCTTATCTATAGCTACTTAACCCTGGTACATGTTGATGAAGACAGCCTTGAGGTTAAAACTGGCATAATTCATTTACCGATGTAAAATATAAACTCTCTTTCTGAAAAAAAAGTACTCTGAAAGAGTGGGACAATAACAGATAACAGATAATCAGATTTGGAAGGGACCTTGTAGGTCATTTAGTCCAACCCCCCGCCCAAGCAGGAGACCCTACACCATTTCTGACAAATGGGAGTCCAATCTCTTCTTGAAAGTCTCAAATGATGGCGCTCCCACAATTTCTGAGGGCAAGCTGTTCCATTGGTTGATTGTTCTCACTGTCAGAAAGTTTCTCCTTATTTCCAGGTGAAATCTCTCCTTGTTCAGTTTCCATCCATTATTCCTTGTCTGGTCTTTGGGTACTTTAGAAAATAGCTTGACCCCTCTCCTCTCCGTGGCAGCCCCTCAAATATTGGAAGACTGCTATCATGTCTCCCCTGGTCCTCCTCTTCACCAGACTAGCCAAGCCCAGTTCCTGCAACCATTCTTCATATGTCTTAGTCTCCAGTCCCCTAATCATCCTGGTTGCAATTCCTACTCCTGAGTTGGTATTTAGCCAGTTCTGACAGGTTCTGGAGAACTGGTAGTGGAAATTTTGAGTAGTTCGGAGAACCGGTAAATACCACCTCTGGTTGGCCCCATCTATTTGCTGCCTCCTGAGTCCCAGCTGTTCTAAGTCCCAGCTGATTGGCTGGGTCTTCTTTTGTTGCCCTGCGCAGGAGAACGGAGCTGGAAAGCAGGTTAGTAAGGTGGGGAGGGAATGGGGATTTTACAGTATCCTTCCCCTGGAGTAGGGTGGAAATGGAGATTTTACAGTATATCCTCCCCTTGGAGTGGGGTGGAAATGGGGATTTTACAGTATCCTTCCCCTGGCATACCCACCAAGCCACGCCCACCAAGTCACGCCACACCCACCAAGCAACACCATGTCCACCACACCTCGCCCACAGAATCGGTAGTATAAATGTTTGAATACCACCTACTCTGAAGTGTTTGATGTATTCTAAAACCTTTCAGTGAATTGACCCAATCTGAAAAACAACTTTTTTTTTAATACTTAATTTTTTACAACTTTTTTTGCTATTTACTTTTCTCAAATCTGGGAACCTTTTTTGCTATACAGAAGTTCATACAAAGAAAATAGCAGTAATACCAGTTTCCTTAATACACACTTACTTTACTTTGGCAGCTCCAGGGACATCTTTTAATTCTTCATGTAAGCTGAATACTTTGGGATATTTTTTTTCTATGATTGTGATGAGATAGTGCAACAAGGTAATGTTCCTAGGATAAAGACAAGCAACAGTTAATAACATGAACATGAAACATTATTTTTCAACGAAGAGAAAGTAAGCGACATTTAATTCACCTCAAAGAAAATAGCTATACCTTTCCAGAATTTAGATGAAGAGTTCAATATTGTGATGACACACAATGATCAGCCAGGTCCATTTTGGACAACAAAATACTTGCTTCTCAATAGTGTGTATCTGAGATATGCTATCTGTGATTCAGAGGGCAGCACCCAGCTGTTAAATATAGTAACTACTGATATCTCTGTCCTCCATGAATTTTTCTAATTCTCTTTTAAAACTAACAAGACTGGTGGTCAGTGCTACATTCAGTGGCAAGAGTATTTGGCTATATCCATTTCTACAGACACTCAAAATCTGGATTCAAACATCATATGGCACAGAAACCACAGAAGCCTTTATGCTTCAGCTCTTTCTAAGCAAAAAGCTGCCTTTCTCACGGAAATTCTTTGCCTCTCATGAATGCTAAAAATGTCTCCATCCATCTACTATTAGGGTTGTCATCTAGATGTCCTCGTTAAGCTTCTTCAATTCCTACTGGGGAGGGAAGAACAGGAAGTTCTTCTGCCTGGTCACTATAATATCTGTACAACTTGATTTCTTATGTTGTGGTGAAGAGGCAGGCGAATAGGTTCTATTCGCTAGAACCGATTGTTAACATTCTAAGCAGTTTGGAGACCTAATCCTGTAAGGAAGGCAGGAAGGAAACATTCTGGTGTTGCTTACAGAAACTGCATCTCTGTTAACCCTTATTACATTCTTGGCAGGACTAGACTTCCTGTCTCAGGAATGTCTCTGAAGTTTTTTCCCCTCCTTTGCTGGTACTTCGCTTGGGTGGAGTGACCATTTAAAGTTACAATGGCACTGAAAAAAGTGACTTATGACCATTTTTCACACTTACGGCTGTTGCAGCATCCCCCCAGTCATGAGAGGCCAGGCGAGGAGATGCATGCCTCGATGTGAGTGATATTGAGTTGGTCACACCCAGCCAATAACATGACCACCAAGCCACTTCCACCCAGTCACATGACCACCAAGCCATGCCCATGCCCTAAGCCACACCCACAGAACCGGTTGTTAAAATTTTTGAATCCACCACTGTGAAGAGGGAAATTTTACTGTTATCTGAGTTCATTCTGTTTGGGGACAAGTCAAGACAATGTTATCTAGCATAAAACTGTCCATCCTGGATCCTCTACGTAGTGTGTGGAATGTGTGTGTCAGAACTAAGAGGTTGTTAGCACTTTTGGGGGGGAGGGATTATTCTGGCTGCTTTAAAGGAGCCTTGTGCCTCCCATTCTGAGGAACCTTTTTAAAAAGCTAACTTTATTAGATAATAATAATATTCTCTCCAAACCTCTCCTTTTTCAGGGAAAGTTCTTGACAACGTAGTGCAGCTTCAGCTGCAGACTTCTCTAGAAGAAGCAGATTATCTAGATTCTTTAAAGACAGAGTTCAAAAGGAAGCTAGTCTTCCAGCAACCCCTCCTCCCCCAGAAAATCAGAACATGCTTGAAGCTGCTTACTTGTCAATGCTGGATTTGGTATCTGCAATCTTGTTCAGGCTAGAAATTTTAAAGCCATAAGCGTTCCCTCTCTGACCCTTGTTCATGTAGTTGCCAAAAGCCAAAACCACTTCAAGCAGCTGCTTCAGGCTTTTACTCTGGAATACTTGGGTGGAAGCAGTTCGAATTGCTAGAAAGGGAAGGCAAGTGGAAGAAGATCTAGTTAGACAAGATGATGTTGACAAGAGCAGGGGCCTCCAATCTTGGCAACTTTAAGACTTGTGGACTTCATCTCCCAGAATTTTGCTGGCTTGGAGATGTTCTAGTCCAACCCCCTGCTAAAGAAGGAAGGAATCCTATGCCACTTGAGACCAATGGTTGTCCAATCACTTTTTATTCCAGTGTTGGAGCATCCACAATTTCAGGAGGCAAGTTGATTGATCGTTCTTACTGTCAAGAAATTTCTCCTTAGTTCTAGGTTGCTTCTCTACTTGATCAGTTTTCATCTGTTGTTTCTTGTCCTGCCTTCAGATGCTTTGAAGAATAGATTGATTCCTTCTTTGTGGAAGCCCCTGAGATATTGGAACACTGCTGTCGTATCAGCACTAGTCCTTCTTTTCATTAAACTAGACATACCCAATTCCTGTTCTATGAACAATTCATAGAACATTTCAATTATTATATGTTCTCATCGCCATTAATCCTTTAATAATTCATCCAAATTAAAATATTTATTATTTAAGGTCACAGTCTATTCTCATTAACATGATATCCCATCCCCCTCCCTTTCCACCACAGTTTTGTTCAAAATTTAAAATAAAATTTAAAAGATTTTCCTTGTTTCAAATATTTATTTCAAATATAATAGGAAGGTTCCTTGCACTTTGATTCAGTTCAAGAGAAATTGGCTTCCTTAAGTGTTTTCATTTTAAGTTTCATCAAACTTTGACTCACATAACCATTTCCTCGAGCCCATATTTTACCTTCAACTTTTGGTTTAACTTCAGCAACTCTCTCAGCAAACTTCTTCTTAAAATACAAGGACTGCAACCTTTGCTGGTAATGATTTATCCTACAAGAAAAAGGCGTAAGACAGTAAAAGAACCACATTTCTCAAAGCTAATAAAAGTTGGAAGAAAAAATGACATGTTTCAGGTTAAATTGCACAGTTGCCTTCTGGAAAGTCAGAGCAATCATCTGCAAAGATTATCATCAAATACTTATTCTGTGACTTTCAAGCTCCATAAAATCTGATGTCCTTCAATTCAACTTACAGTTCCTAAAATAACATGGTCAAAGCTTGGAATGCATCTTGAAGCCATCAGATTAGAGAAGGTGGTCTTGTATTCTGTATTTCTACCGCATACAGCAAAGGCAAATCAACTTACAAATTAACATGATTCAATAAGAAAACACACACTGAAATTAAATGGAAATGGAAACAATGGAAAATCTTTAGCCTGTAAGCTCTTTAAAGAGCTCTGTCTCCCCATGCTTCCTGTGGCCCTTTTCTCAAATCCTTAATACAACTGAGACATGCCTTTCCATATCATTCATTTTCTGTGTTTATCTCTTTCCTCCTTTACAGCAATAATTACATCAACCAAATCAATCTCACTAGACTAGAATACCAATTTCAGCAGTATGAAAAGCCCAGGCTGTAATTTTCTACTTCAGATTTTTCTTCAACACATAGTCTACATCAGGGATGTCAAATTGGCAGCCCATGGGCCGGTTGCATCATGTGCAGGCCACGCCCACCCTGGCTCTGCAAAGGCAATAAACATTGCGATATGTCACGATACATGATGTGATCGAGTTTGACACCCATGGTCTACATGGCTAGGAAAACAACCCTCCTTTCTACACATTCCCCTAATTATTGAGTCCCTTTTTTTTTGGCATGGACAGCAATAATGGTAGAAGGGAAGCAGCTGGCAAAATCACCTGCTCATTTCAAAGAGAAATCTGTCAGCTTTGGCCATCCGATCCAACTCATGCTTGTGTTCTTCCAGAAGATCGATGTCAGCTTTTTCAGGAACAAATTTTAAAAGCTAAAAAAGAAAAAAAATAGGTATTTTAGATCAGGGGCCGCCAACCTTTTGGACCTCAGGGACCACCAAACTCGTAATTTTAAATCCCGTGGACTACTAATATGAATTTTGACTGATGGTGGCTTGCTGATGTTGGTGGGAAAGTCGGTCCCATATTCCAGAGCTGCAGTAGTCACAGGACTGGCCCTTTGGTCATCCTGGAGCAGCTGCTCCTCCACCCGGGTGCACCAGCCTGCCATGGACTGGAGGAGCTACTCCGGGATGACCAAAGGGCAGCTCTGGAATATGGGACCAACTGCAGCTCTGGAATATGGGACCAACTTTTCCATCAACGTCAGCAAGCCACCCTGGGGCAGATTTCCCTTCCCTGCTGTTGATCTTACCTTCCAGTTCCAGCTCACGTGGCTCTACTCAAGGTAAGGTTTGCACTCGGCCCAAAGGGTGGGGGCCAGTGGGTGGGTGGGCCATGTGTTCCCATGCAGCCTGGATTAATTGCTTTGGGAGAACATTTCTCTACAGACCACCAAAAAATTTTCGTGGACCACCAGTGCTCCCTGGCCCACCGGTTGGCAACTACTAGTTTTGATGAACAATCTTCTCTTGGGAATTCAACTTTTACAGGACAAGAGAATGCACAGATATGTAGGCTTCAAGATTTTCTACTGATGAGGTGGGTAATAAATAATTTTTAGTGGAGAATCTCGTTGGTGGCCTGGAAAGGCAGCTGGGTAACTTTGCAATGTATGGGGGTGTTAAGATACCTTTTAAGAATAACTGGGAAGAGCAATAAGTGTATGTGTATCTATTATTTCAAATTTCTTAACTGCCTATCTCCTCACAGACGGCCTCTAGGCAGTATTATTACCAACAGTACAGGTAGTTCTCGACTTATGACCACAACTGAGCCCAGAATTTTGGGCATAAGTCATTGCAGTCATTAAGCGGGTCACTATGTGACCTGACTCAATTTTACAAGGTTCATGAAGTGAGTCGTCATGGTTGTTAAGTGAATAACACATGGTCATTAAACAAATCCGGCATATCCAAAGGGCATGTTTTGCCATTTTCTGCTGCTGCAATCACCATGGTATGCTGCAACCAGTCGTAAATGTGAATCAGTAGCCAATCACCCGAAATGTGACCAAGTGAGGATTACCTATATTTTGAGGAGCCATGGTGGTGTAGTGGTTAAAATGCAGTATTGCAGGCTAATCCTGCTGACTCCAGATTGCCAGCAGTTCGGCAGTTCAAATCTCACGAGCCTCAGGGGTGACTCAGCCTTCCATCCCTCCGAGGTTGGTAAAAGGAGGACCCAGATAGATGGGAGCAATATGCTGACTCTGTAAACCGCTTAGAGAGGGCTGTAAAGCACTATGAAGCGGCACATAAGTCTAAGTACAATTGCTATTGAGTGGAAATGGTGGAGTAGGGTTCCATCATGAAGAGACCCATTGCTGTTTCCCTTAGTAATAGTCTTACAAGCCTCCCTGTCTGCCTCCCTACCAGCCAGTTAATGGCTAATCAAGCAGGTAATCGGATCCAGTGATTAGGGTTCATTTTAGCTCCATAGGCTACACAGAAAGACTGAGTAGGCTGAGGACTGCATGAGTCAAAAGGCCTTGAATTATTTATTTATCCACCTATCTCATTTATATAGCCACCCATCTCACAAAGCAACAGATTCTGGGCAGTGTACAACAAAACTGAGGCAGATCAAGCTCCCATCTCCTTTTTTTAAATTAAAAAGAAATAGTTGTTTCCCTAGAATATTTTTCTTCTCATAAAGAAAGCCAATGAAACCCCTGAACTGATTTCATTCCAGGCAGATTAGATTAGTCACCTGCTAAGGCGTGGTGATCTTTCTTCACCCTTTTGACTCCTCAGCTGGGATAGAACTTATCAACTACATCTCTGCCTATAGCAGTCTATGAATAGGGTGTGTGTGTGTCTGTGTGTCTGTGTGTCTGTCACGGAGAATCATTCACAGATAGCATCAAAGGAGATTTCTTTCCTACACTTTCTAATTTTTCTTCAAAAGACATGCTTCTTGAAAGCTGCCAAATAACATAACAAGTTAAGGTGGAGCTGTTCCAAGTCTCTTTCTCAGGTTTTCTACTTTCTTAAGACAACCATTTCACATCTCCTAGTTCCGGGGTGTCAATGCACATCATCACAGCGGCGTTACATGACCTATAGGGACTTTTTTTCCATTCGCTAAACTGGGCGGGGGCGGGGCCAGCACGTGATGCATTCAGCCCACGGGCCATGAGGTTGATACTCATGTCCTAGTTCCTTCTTTAGCTCAGAGCTAAACTCTTCTACTTGCATAGATCAGGAGGGGGAAAAAAACCCAACGGCCCTGCAATGGTGGGAGCAGAGATCTTCGATGGTGAATTCTGGACTTTCATTTTTAACATTTATTTCAAGAACTGGACACCTTCTGCACTCACCTGTTCAAGCATATCCTTTGGCAGGTCCTCCTGTTCATCCATTGTTAAAATTGCACGTTTAATTTCATCATTTGATAGTTTAAGCCTGGAAAGGCAGACAACAGAACGATTTTACATAAGCATGGAAGTTGGCCTGTCTATCTCATTACTGTAAAATTTGCTAAATTTCTAAATGTTACCTTTATGCTGCTTTTAATTGGATTGATTTTCATTTTGGGGTTAATTAATAAATAAGCATAAACAAACTTATAATGATCTAAGTATATGTGTGACAGAGTGGAGAGGGGAAAATTTAGAGACCGCCCCTGGCAGTGAAATGAATAATGAAATAGGGGAATGAATATTTTGCAAGAAGTTCTGTATTTCTCTGCAAGGAACGGACTCTGCCTGCTCTATGGATTCGCAAATAATCTTTGCTGTGTCAGCAGGACTGTCTGGGGGCTTTTATGTATGGGAGGCTGTTTGGTCCTCACACTCTAGGCCTGAAAAAACAAACACGCACAAAGCCTGCACTAAGATGCCCCTAGAGAATATTTATAGGCGAGGATGGGGAGGGAGATAGGAAAAGCTCTTCTTTGACACTTGCAGGGGGAAAGGAGGCCAGCAAAAGCAGTAAGCCTATCCAGAAAACCACAATAATTATCTTTTTTGGCAGCAGCTGCTAAGCACACAGACTATCTGAGATGGAAGGTAGTAGTTACAGCATTGGCTGTTACAAGGCTTTAAATGATGAAACTTGTTGACAGGGTGTGACAGCTTGCAAGAGATGTTGAATGGGTGTGCTTGGCTTTGATGAGACAAACAGCTAGCCTCATGAGGGTTAAAACATCAGGGAGCGTGCATAACTTTAATAGGCTCAGAATACACTTCTGGGGTAGGGGAACCTTATGCAACCCAGAGACAAGCCAGAGCAGACAGATTTTTGACCGATATATGGAAATAATTATTTTCCTAACGTAGTAACTTATTAGGAAATAAATCAGGGTTGCCGAGCAACTTCAAAACACTGATCAGCTATTTAGGGTCTGGAAGGAATTATATCTGGGAGAAAGGTGAAGCACCAGGTGCTGACTGGTTATGCTTCAATATGAAAAGTACATGCCTGTGCCAGGAAAAAGGTTTAGGTGTAGCCAGTGGTGTGCTGATAAAGGCATCGCAACTGTCTCTGCTGCATTGCATGGATAGCTGCCAAACAGCTGAGGGTGGGGGTGGGGGGCAGGGCTAGGCACCGTGTCTCAGCTGAGAATTCCAAAACATTTTTACAATCAGCTCTCGTGATTGTTGGCTCCAGTACATCCAATATGGGCATCACAAATCTAAGTCCTCCCCTATACCAGCTCTGACTTTTCAGTGGCAAAACTGTTGTCTTTATCTGTATAGAAAGCAGTACTCTCATCACCTGAGAGGGAGGGAAAGTGAATCCAGGAAGTTTCATATGTGTGTGAAGAATGTGAAAGTCATGAGATGCTCCGTTTCCACGAGGAAGCCGGGATGCTAAAATGGCTTGGAGAGAATTTCTAATCAGAGAGTTCGGTGGGAGATGTCTTGAAAACTGAATGAAATGAAAGCATAGGTCGTCTGAGCTTCCTCTGAGAAAGCATCTGTGAAACAATCAACATTGCCGCTGTGAAATGGATTGATCTGAGATGCAAGCCCTGGAATCTAAGCTGCCCAGGTTCAGGGATGTTATTTTATCTTCTGGAATAATGGAAGCACATGAAACAAGTGAAGACATGCAAACTGGATCTTAAACATACTGGACATTAAAGGGAGATGCAATTAATTAAAAAGCATTGCTAAGCCTGACCACCACCATTTCCATAAGAAGAATAGTGCTGGATCAAACTATCTAATCCAGCATCATGTTTCTCCCAGTGGCTAAAGAGATCCATTGGGGAAGTTCATAAATCAAGCGCTCACAGCTGGTAGTCAGAGGATGATGCCAATGACCCTCAATAAGGATTTATGAAGCCAGCAAAGAATGAGAGCTAACAAGAGGACATTAAACTCAGGTGCAAAGAACAATGTCTAGATCTGTTCGATACAGTTTAAGAATCAACCCCAAAATGCAAAACCATATATGGTCTTGTTACATTCATAGGAAAGAGGTGGGGGGATGGAAAACCAAAAATATTTCCTAGCTTGAGAAGTCTAATATGACCTCACTGTCCAACCATTTTTCCCAGAAAGAGATAAAATATCTAGCAAGGCCGAACTTTTCAGAGATGCATGCCAACAATATCTGGTTTGCTTTATAAAATGTATAGGATAAATAAAGAACTGGCCTGATGATTGTGTGTAGAAATCTTTTCTTAATTCAACAGTGCAAGAAGAAAAACAGTGCATTTCAACTGTAATTCTCTAGATATTTGACATGGTCCTCCCAGATGAAAATATATACAATTGACCTATTTACAATATATGAATCTCAAACTCAAATTTATACTCACAGCCTGTCAGGTAGCTCGCCTGGAAGAAACACAATGGCATGAGTGTCTTTTGCCCACTCCACACCACTGCAAATAATTCCTGATCTCCTTTGCCACATTTGAAAACAGTATAGTGTATTCAAGTCAACCCATTTTCAACAGGCAGAGAGAGAGAAGATTTATGCATAGTGATGGTGGCTGGAATAGTGGATTCCCATTAAACTCTAATCAGGCTGTCTTCAATTCTGCACTGGTCTGGATTGTGCATTAAATCAATTCTGAGTGCGAGGATGGCAATCACCACTTAAAGTAATTAAAACATTTAAACACACATGGTACTGAGAATACAGCTAGGCACCTTCACTTGTGAACAGCTGGAGGATTACTGGGGAAGGTGGAAGACAAAACATTTACACAGTGGTCATTCAAACTTGCACTGTTCCTGCCCTTTCTGCAATTCAGAAGCATGTTTTTTTTTAATTGGATGGTACCACATAGAGAATTATAACTGAAGCCTAAAGATCTGTGCAGCAGACCAAATTTGGTCTGCATATTACATCTCTATATTTTTTATTTAAAAAAACTGAATTTGCAGTTGTATAGACTCTCCTCAATTTTTGTTTGTTTGTTTATTTATTTGTTTATTTATTTATTTATTTGATTTGTCGATCGCTTACAAGATAATAGGTATAAGGATAAACATAGTTATGAATACAAGAAATGAGTACATATAAGAAAAATAAAAGAAACAATAGTACAGAGACGGTAGGCACTTTGGTGCGCTTATGCACGCCCCCTACAGACCTCTTAGGAAAGGGGTGAGGTCAATAATAGACAGTCTAAGGTTAACATTTTTGGGGTCTTGGGAAGAAACCACAGAGTCAGGCAGAGTATTCCAGACATTGACCATTCTGTTGCTGAAGTCGTATTTCCTACAATCAAGTTTGGTGCGATTAACCTTGAGTTTGTATCTATTGTTTGCTCTTGTGTTGTTATGGTTGAAGCTGAAGTATTCATTGACAGGTAGGACATTGCAATATATGATTTTATATACTATACTTAGATCAGACCAAAGGCAGCGTAGTTCTAGATTTTCTAAGTCTAGAATTTCAAGTCTGGTGGCATAAGGTATTCTGCTATGAGTAGAGGAGTGGAGAACTCTTCTCGTGAAATATTTCTGGATTTTCTCAACTGTGTTAATATTAGATACGTAATGTGGGTTCCAGACTGATGAGCTGTATTCAAGTATTGGTCTAGCAAATGTTTTGTATGCTCTAGTTATTAGTGTAATATTACCAGAGAAAAAGCTACGTAAGATTAGGTTAACAACTCTTAATGCCTTTTTGGCTATGTAGTTACAGTGGGCTCTAGCACTTAGGTCATTAGAGATGAGTATTCCAAGGTCCTTGACAGAGTTTGGATCATCAACAAGGTCTTGCTTGTATTTTATTTTCTGATTATTTTGCCAATTTTTTTGCTATTTTTTCTACATACAGTATATGCAGTCCCCGAGTTATGACCATTCACTTAATGCTGGTTTAAAGTTATTACACCATCCCCAAAAGTAGTTCTGACACAGTCCAGGAGTTACGAATGTTGCAGGCAATAAGGCATTTGTTCACCTGTATGACTGACCGCAGAGACAATGCAACATTCCCCCTGATTATCCCGCTCTGCCTCTTCTCTCAACTGCTTCCCTTTTGGAGTGCTGGGAGCAGGTAAAGAAACCATGGTAGAGAGGCTGGAGAGGAGGCAGCTCGCTTGATTATGGAGATCTTTGAAAGATGAGTGAGCCTCCAGAGGCCCAGAGCCTGTGGAGACCTGGTGGGGCAGGATGAGGGTGGAAGCATGAGATATCTCAGTGGGTCAGAGGAAGCCTTGGGTGGTCAGAAGCAGGTGGCCTGACTAGGCATCCTATCCTCTTCCCAACCCTGAGATACCTCATGTGCACTTAATGACCTGCACATTTGATTAGTGAGTGCATTGGGGGTGAGCAGGAGTTATCACATTCGTTTAATGTGATCCAATTAACAAATCCTCAGGTTATGAATGTAACTGGCAGGCTCTATTACATTTGTAACTCGAGGATTACCTGCACAATCTTCTTTTTAGTGCAATTTTTCACAGTGCAATTTTTTTGAGCCACTTTTTGAGCAGACTGCAATGGATGCCAGAAGACCTCTCTTCTTGCAGCCACAGTGGAGTTTCTTTTTGGGTTGACTCTACTTTAGACCCTCTAGTAATCCATTGCTTTTCATTTCCTATTTGTGGCCCCAGGGAGTTGCAACCTCCATGAAGCTAACGAATCTTACTACAGGCAAATGTATAGCGTACACAATGCTGTCTGTCTCTGTAAAAGAAAATGAACACAAAAGAGGTGGTCATCAAAGAGACTTTCAATCTTTCAGAGGATGTCTTACATAGAAAGACTCAGGAGAACTTGTTCTTACAAAAGAAGGGCAATGCCATTAGAGTGACCCGTTAGAGCGGGGAGGCAGGGAATGTTGTGGGTCCCATCCCTGAGGGAGATACACCTGGTGGGACCGAGAAGAAGGGCCTTCTTTGTGGTGGCTCCCTCTCTCTGGAACATCATTCTTCCAGAGATTAGAATTGCCCCCACTCTAGCTCTCTTCCAGAAGGCACTGAAGACCTGGTTCTGCCAGCAGGCCTGGAGAACCCAGAGCGTGATGGAGTCCATGAAATGGCTTGTGTGATCTGCTGTCATCAGGGCGGGGGTGGTGGGAGTTGGGGGGTGATCCCCCCCCCAGATTTTCTATTGTACTTTATTAATTTATTTGATTCTTTTTGTTACTTTTTGACTTTTTGTTTTTTATTTTTATTTTTTGTTTTTGTTTTAAATATGGTTTTACATTGTGTAAGCCGCTTCAAGTTGCCATGGGTGAATAGGCGGCAATATAAATTTATTAATAATAATAACAATAACAATAACAATAACAACAACAACAACAACAACAATAATAATAATAATAATAATAATAATAATAATAATAATAATAATAATAATAATGCATTTAGTGATACCTTGAGAGCAGAATATTGCAGTTCTGAGCCCTTCGACCATCTATTACTGAAAGCTCCTTGACTTTATGCCTGGAACTCAGTGTGTCATCAATGGAGTCTTCTTTCTATAAAAGGCATGGAAAGAATCCATTAATAAGTAGATGCGCAGTGGTATTTTAGAAGTTCTGGCACATGCCAATATCTCAAATATAAATCAAGAATCTTTACTAAGCCACCAATTAAACTATATCTGAAACACAATAATCTATTTCATAAATTGGAAGATTATCAGGAGGAGGAGGGAAATAAACAGGCTATTGGTTACAAGTGGTTAAATATTTATCCAGATGGAAATATTTAAGAATCCACTAACAAAAGACAGTGAGGAACACAGATAGTCTTTTCTTGGATATGTTGTGACATTTTGTTTAGACTTGGTTACTATCAGCTGGGATACTGCAAAGCAAACTTTTCATGATTCTTTAAGTGGAAGAGCCCTTGTTCAATGACATAATACCTTCTCATATGCAAAAGATCCCAAGTTTAGTCTCTAATATTTCCATTTGATATGTGTAACAATCTGAGATATGTGACAGAGTTTAGCTTGTCAAGGCAGATATTACTGGGATGGACAAAAAGTTATTCCAATTCCATATAAAACTTCATCTTCAACATTGAATGAAGAAGTGGAAAATTATCTGCCAAATCAAATTGTTGATCCAACCAGTCCTGTATTGTACCTTCTGACTGGCAGAAACTCCAAAATTTTTAATGAGAATCTTTCCAAGTTTGGTATCAAAGATCTTGAACCTGGGACCTTCTGGGTGCAAAGCAGATGTTCTATGGATCTGCTCTTCAACAATCGTAACTTATGAAAAGGTGGCAGGATCGTGATTCAGTTACAGGGAGGTAACATGGGTATGTACAAATCCAAGAATGGACAAGCATAAATGGATTTATTGGGATAGCAGTCTTTTCCAATCTCATGCCCTGTCAAACCCAACCAGAATGTCGTTCAAGGTTGATAACAGATGAAATCAAACATATCGGAGGACTCTGGAGAAAAGCTGGTTCAACATAACTAAACAATTGTTTGATTGCAGCCACAGAAGGAATTTGGGATATTCATCCAAATCTTTTTCAAAATCTGAGATAACGCAGCCCAAATTTCAAGTTGGTTCAGTCCATATACATATATACATACACTCATATATATGTTTATAGTTTCTTTGTAGCGACACAGAAGTTGTTTGTCTTTCAGGATTTTTCTTCTACAGTCTAACCCAGTGATTTTCAAACCTAGAAACTTTAAGATGTATGGACCTGAATTCCCAGAATTCCTCAATTGGAACTGTGGGAATTGAAGTCCACACATCTTAAAGTTGCAAAATGAAAGACACTGAGTTAACCTACTTGTATGGTCCTAGAATTTCCTAGAGATGTCTCTCCATGAACTGGCCATTTTAGACCCTGCTTAGCTTGAAAGGGTCAGACAGATGCTGCCATCTGCTGAGAAACACACACATGCACGCACCCATAGATATACATATGTATGTACACAGAGAGAAATATTTATGCATAAAGCATTCTTTGATAGAGCCAGATACATTTTTTTGACAATTACTAATATTCACAAGGTCTTTCAAAATTAAAGAAATTAGTTCCATTTCCCACTGACCACCCCAATCCTTCTTGAATGACCTGTCTAATAAAGCACTGGTCAATTGGAAAAGCAAATAAACAGTTTGGAAAAAAAAAATGAGAGTAAGTAAAGAATAAGTCAATGCTGCCCAAGAACATTAGACTGATTCTAAATTGTCACAGTATTGTAAGAGACATAAAACTTCAGTACTTTTATATCTCTGCTATAAATGATTTTATTTTTTCCATATACGTAAGGCTACATTAGCACTGTCCCTAAATGTAAACCACTAAATGATTTGTGAAATAATTTTGAACAGTAAAATAAATCCTAATAAACGCAGACCTTTTAAGCTTTTTAAAAACAACAAAAATGCATTTACTTATTCAGTTGCCCATATCAGCACAAACCACTTGCTCATTCAGCTGAAGATTTGGGCAGAAGCAAACTTACCTGTTTGGAGTTATTGTTCACAAAGAAGTCCTATAGCCAGAGCAGAAGCATGGGGATAGGCAGGAAAAAAGTGTGCAGTTCAGTGGACACAGCAAAAAAAAAAAAAAAGAACAACCACAAAAGAAAAACAGAAAAGAGTCAAAGAACAGTTGGGAAGGATATATATTTTGCAGTTTGCAAACAGGAAACTAAACAATCTCCGCAGCATTTTGGATATATCAGCTATGACGATAATAATGCAATCCAAGAAGCACGGTACAACAGAGGTTAGTGGAGGAATACAACAAAAGAGAGTCAGAGGCAAGCAACAGGCATTAGTTTAGATGCAATTTCATCGGTCATGCCCATTTCAACTGAAGGGGACATTGGGATGGCAACCACACTAATGAGGGATTCAGCAAGTATTGTCTCCCATAGGCCAATTCACACAATGCAGTTTTGAAGCCAACATTTCAGAATCTTAAGGAGTTCTGACCGGTTCTTAAGCTATACGAGGCTGCTGCCCTTTCCCTTCCCATATGTGAATGCTTGTATACAAGCATCTCAGCAATAGCATTAATAGAGTGGAGAAGGATCACAAAGGATCAGCAAGATTGCAATTTGGATGCAAAAGAACTATCCGCTAACTCGCTGCAATCTTGGATGAAAAGAAGTGCTTTTGAAATGAAGGCACCGTAAGCCACTGTGAATGATATTCGGCAGTGAGATGGATGGCATATACATTTTTTTAATAACTAACAAAACAAACAAAACAAAAAAACAACAACCCTTGCTTGGAATGATCACTACTGGGAATTTCTGTAATAGTAATTATGATAGGTTTCATATGCATTACAAAAATCACCGGAATGAAATCAGAACCATAAATTAACCAGGGCCTTTGGCTATAGGAGGCTTAGGAGATAAAACAGATAAAGATTGCAAAAGTTGCAGAGTAAGCACAGAATATTATTAACAAGTCCACTTTTCCAAACATGGTTGAAAAAGACTGAATTGAATCCATGCACAATACTGTTGATAATGACAGCTTTGCCAAATAACTCTTATGGATGACACATTTCTAAAAGCAAAGTGTTGAATATCCAACAACTGAAAAGGGAACATGATGCCTGAAAGCATTTTGAATAGCTAAATATAAACATTTTAATGATGTGTGAAAATGGTGTTTAATGTTCCTCTTCTCACCAGGCACCTGGAGAGATAGAGCAGATATGCTCTCTGGTTGGAACCAGGACTGGCAAACAATCAATTTTTTCCCCTTATTTTCTGCATTTTCCACACAATACTTCAATTCTAATTCTGACAAACTGGATAATGTGATTCAACCTTTCTGGGCTGCACCATTGCCCTACCTGTGTAATCTATCAGAGCAGTTAGTAATATGGTGTCTGTGGATCCATATGTGCTTGGCAGGCCCTGAACACAATGTATAATTGGATCAGGAGATCTCATCATTTGGCCCAGGCATCCATTACATGTAAGGATGTTTGATGCTTTTGGTGAGCAGATGGTGATGGCTGGGACACAAATGGATATATATTTCTGTCCCCAGGGAAGTGAGAAGGGGTGGGTTTGTATATGTAATGTATACACATGTAATTATATAGGGATACTGAATATAGGAAGACAGGTGAATGAGGGAGATGTGTCCCTAAATGTGCATATGTAACTATTTATGTAGGTAATGGGGAATTTGTATTTTTGTGTGTGGACGGTGGGAAAGGGAGAGAGAGAAATGAACACATGGTCACATATATACTGGAAGGTGACCTCAAACACCTATCTGCTTCAAAATATAATGTATCTCAGATTTATCAGCTTTACTTCAAAGGCCAATCCCAGTGCACTAGCCCTGTATTTCAAGGCCAAAAGCTTCTAAGTTTGAACAGCACAACCGCATACAGGTTGCCTAATTTGATCTCAACCGCTATATTGGACTCTGACCTTTCTGTCTCTGTCCACTACTTGGTTCCCACGACCCCATGATTTCAGCTGGATTTTTTTCTTCTTAATCAACTTTTCATGCATTTGGATGGAGGATAATCCTCTTCTACTGGAGGGGAAAAAAAGTCCCTCCAAAACTCTTTATCCCTTTTTTAAAAAGTAATTTTTATTGAACTTTTCCACATTTTAAAAACTTGTATATAATATTTGCAGCATTGTGACGTCGACTTTTCCAATTAGGTTAATATACATAATTACACATTTACCTTAATTTTTATTCCTACTGTCTAACCAATTATACCAGTTCTCCCAGACCATATAGTATTCCATATCTTTTCTATCTTGCAATTCCAATGTGAGTTTGACCATTTCTGTACAATCCATTATTTTCTTTATTATCATACTATCAGTGGGGGTATTTACTAATTTCCAACTCTATGCATAAGCGATTCTTGCTGCTGTCAATATATGTATTATGATATATTTGATTTATTTCTTAAATATTCCTCTAACTATTCCTAACAGAAACATTTCAGGTTTGAGTTCAATTTGGAGACCGGTAATTTCTTGCAACCATTTCCTTATTTTGTTCCAATATTTTCTTGCTTTGGGGCAAGACTACCACATATGAAAGAAGGTACCTTTTTTGTATTTACATTTCCAACATTCTGGACTCATGTTTGGATATATTTTGGCCAATCTTGCCGGTGCTAGATGCCAACGGTAAAACATTTTATAAAGATTTTCCTTAAAGGCAGCAGCCATTGTTAATTTATAGTTTTAGACCACAGTTTCCCCCATTCCTCTAATTGAATGTTGTAACCAAAATTTGTTGCCCAGGATATCATATTTCCTTTAGCTACTTCTTCTTCTCTATCAAATCTTAGTAGATAATTGTACATTTTGGTTATAAATTTCTCTTCTGGTCCAAAACTCTATTCTTGTAACAGCAAAACAAAAAAAGAGAGGTGTTTTTAAAGAGTTTAATGCAATAGGGTTACTAACATTATCGTTCTTTTTTCTATTATGTCTGAATTGCTGAATTCAAGGTAATAACGAAAGTTAATTCCCCTTTTGTTTAGCAAACTGCAACTTTGGAGAGAGTAGACATTGCAGACATGTGGTTACATTCAGGCACAATGTTTTATTATAAACTGCCTGGATACCTGTGGCTATTGGGCAGTCTAAGGAAAAAACTAAATAAATATTTAAATTCTCATTACTCTTTTCCTGAAGCAGAGTAACCAAATTCCTAGGTGTCCTGTATAAACAATTTTGTGTAGAAATAACTGCTGAGTCTGGCCAAATACCGAGGATAACAAAATGAATCGGTTCACCCTCAACAGCATTTTATCACCTAGGTACAGCAAAAGGAATGGCCAGCTGTGCTATCACACTGGATTTCTCAACATTTTTGGCACATGCATGCAGGGAACTGCAATTGTAAGAGTTGCAAAGCACTCCTACGCCATGTGTTTGCTTTTTGACACTTTTAAAACAAAAAATCATCCTTTCTCCTACTTGATGAAATACATATTTTAGTCTTTTTGCCAAAGCTGTGTTAAATACACACCTTGGAACAATAAAGTGAGAATTTGACATGAATGTGCTGCAAGTACTATAGTATTCACTGGCTAAGTTCACGCAGTGATAAGGCACAATGTAATGTGTCTGCATTTGATTTAGTGTCTTGTATAAACCCAACTGTGTAGGTTACAAACTGATTTATAGTTTAGTTGTTGTAGCAATCCAGCCAATTAAAATTAATCATAGAATATAGAATAACAGAGTTGGAAGGAACTTTAGAGGTCTTCTAGTCCAAATCTCTGCTCAAGCAGGAGACTCTATACCATTTCAGACAAATGGCTGTCCAGTCTCTTCTTAAAAACCTCCAGTGATAGAACACCCATAACATCTGCAGGCAAATCATACCACTGATTAATTGTTGTCACTGTTAGGAAATTTATCTTTAGTTCTAGGTTGTTTCTCTCCTTGATTAGTTTCCATCCCTTGGTTCTTGTCTTGCCTTCAATTAATCACAGTTAAGCAAACTATCATTTTGCTCAGTGGGAACACAATACCTGGATAGTATACTCTACCTTTGCTTCTATATTATTATGAAATGGCTTTGAATTCTGATGTTTATTCCTTAAAGACAGAACACTTGAATGCATTTTTCATGTTGCCCGCAAGACAGCATTGTTTTATTTGTCCTTTCCCTTAACAGAAAAACCGAAGTAGACCTTTTCTTCACCCCTTTATGAAAAAATAGCTTTTCTTTATAAATCCAAGCATAATGCAGTGATATTAACACAGCTTTCCTTCCTCTTTAATGGAAGGTTTAACATATAATGCCTAAGCTGTTTCAAAGCTTTAAACGTGCTGATATGAAACCTATTTGCAGGGAAAACAAACCGCAGAGTTCCTCACACCAAGGTATATACAATACAACAAGGTTGTAAAATACAAAGAAAAAGGATGCATATTCATAGTAGGAATATTGCATGACATACTTAATATAGATTTTATTTCTCCTGAACATTTGAGACTATGATTTATACTAGACTTTTTCAACAAGGCACTTGGTTGAATGTTTGAATGACAACTTCCAGAATCTGCATGGCCTTATTAACCCTACAGTTGTAAATGGTAAAGTTACTAATGCCCTGGAATTGAGTTGACTCTTGGTGACTTTACTCATCTATTTCCTTGACCATATTAAAGAAATAATTCACCATTACTATCTTCTGGTGATTTTTTGTGTTTCTTTCCTAATCTAGTCAACAACCTTGAATTTCCAGATGGTTCACTATCAAAGTATTAGCCAAGGCCAATGCTTCTTCTCTTGAATATCAGCTAAGGAAGTGTAGTTTGATTGAAATCCACGGACGGGTAGTTCAGACCATGTGCATACACACATTGCCAGGCTCTTCTTACTATAGTTAATATTGGGAATCAGTTAACCTCTGAGATCTTTCTTTGGACTTCTTCAGCAATTAAAAAGTGTAGAACTACCAGTATATCATAATTTCTTTTCTTTTGAGGCTATGCTTCAACAGCATGTAAAATGAAAATAATCTTCAAAA